AAATTTAAAACCAACCATAAAATATAAATGGATTATCTAGAAAAGACCATTTATCTTTGGGTGCAGTTGGCATACAGATGCATCCGTAACTGTAGAGGTAAGGTGCACCTTCAAATTTTATTATGGTAGATAATTTTGATGTAAAATGTTCTTAGGATTATCTCAAAATATGTTTTTATATCTAATTATAAATTTTAAATTTCAAAAATGGTTAAAATCAAGTAGATCTATAAATATATGAAAATTTTGAAAATAGACGGTTAGATAATATGTTGTCAAATGCACAATTAGACTTAAAATATTTTTCTTTTTCATGGTAATACATCTTGATGTCGAGATGATCAATCAAAGGGTTTTTCAGTATAAAACTACTTTTTCCAATGGATTTTTTAGGTGCATCCGTAGTTCTACATTATACGGTTGCATCCTTATATAAACGTTTTCTTTTATCTTTTGTACATGAATGTCACAATCATTCTTGTCCTTTAAATTTCAAAAGGCAATGATTTCATGCAACCGTTGCACAGTAATATGATGTCATTTGAAAATAGGTAGTTGTAAGAGTGTCATTGAATCAACACAAACTTCCCAATAAAGAGGTTCTCGGACTTCGTGACTAACCCCAAATAATCCAATTTGACATCGAATGTGTAGGAATAATTGTAATTTCTATGTACCAAAAACAAAGAAAGAAGTTTATATGAAGTTGCAACTTTTTTTGTTTTTTGTACAAGAGTACTTAACTTTTATTGATAATGGAAGTAAAATAATACATAGCTCAAAATAAATAGATGAAATAACTAAAGCATCCAACAACACCCTTTCTTAGCCAAATCATCCGCAACGTCATTTGTACCTATAAACATGTTGGAATGATACCACCAACGCAGATAAAGAGTCCATCACCTGCAGCCGCATAGACCTAAGACTCCAAGGAGGTTTACAAGAACATGAACACCAATTGATAATATTGGCAGTCTCCTTCAAGTATCAAACAATTTCCCAATCCTCTCTCTTTCCAAATTAAGATTCCCTGTAAAAGTGTCGCCAATTCAGCATAATTTGCTGTCACAACTCTACACGGGCCAGCAAAGCAAAATATTAGGGACCCTTGACCATCTCTACACCCCCCCAATACCTGCATCCCTGGTTACCAAAGGAATATCCATCATATAAAGCTGTTTGGAAGTTGGAAAACTCTCTAATTGATCATCTTGTCATCGATATGTATGAATATGAAAAAAAAAAAAACAAACAAAATTTCGAGTCCGCAAAATAGTGTATCTTGGAACATATTATCTGGAATGTCTATTTTTAAGATTTTCATGTGTTTATAGATATGCTTGATTTGAACCAATTTTAGAGTTTAAAATTTTATAATTAAAAATGAAAATAGATTCTCAAGCCATCCTAAAAAAAATTTATATTAAAATTATATTGATGATAAAATTTAGAGATGCGCCTTAATTGGATTGTTTAAGATTGCAACCTTATGCAAACCACACCCAAGATAAATGGTCTCTTCCTATACAAATCCTATATATAGATATATAAAATAATTGAACTACATTACCTAGAAAAAGAAAATTCGAGATAATAAAAAATGAATAATCGGATAAATCATGGGGAAATGTATACTTTTCGGTCAAAATATCAATATTTTTTCATACATAAAATATAATGAACATTATATCTGCTGTTTTCAAATTTTAAATAATTATTTTATGGATAAAACAAAGATCCATTATCTATGAACTCTCAAGTGTGACACGCAGAATAACGACAACCTTTTTCCGGGCAGGTCAACCCAAAATAGCTCGAAAAGCCTGGAACCTCCTTGCCTCTCCCTGTCAAGAAGCCTTCTTCGGCATCTCTGTCTCATCCATCCATCCACCATTTCATACTGCATCTCTTCCATGCGCGTTTGCTTGGACCCACTATTCCATGGAGTGGTGTCCCCAATATATAAGACGAGAGAGGGAAAGAGATGGTAGATAGAGTAGAGGAGTGAAGGTGGTGAGAGATGGTAGACAGAAGAGAGAAACGAGAAGAGGTGGGAGAGAGAGTATTATTAGTTGGAAAAATTACAAAAATCCCTTCAAAAATGGATTTTTCACGCACTTTATCCTACCCAATTTTTCTTAGCAAATACCCGCATACAAAAGTTTATTTTTTTAGACAAAAATACCCTTCTCTTCCCCCGTAACAAATTATTTTATTTGGCAAGGGCAGTTGGGCATTTTAAAAACGCGGTTGGGTGATTATTTTTGCTAAAATGATTGGTCCGGTGTTTCATGGTCGCGGTCCGGCGATTATTTTTTTTTTTTCTGAAATGAGCGGTCCGGTGTTTTGAAGTTGCGGTCAGGCATTTTGACGGGCAATCCTGCATTTTGATATGGCGATCCGGCATTTTGAAGGGGCACTTCGCCGTTTTGAAGTAGCGGTCAGTCGTTTGAAGTGAGCAATCTGGCATGGTACAAGTGCGGTCCGGCATTTCCTTTTATTGGGATGTGGCATTTCCTTTTATTGAGATCAGAAAATGATTTGTTAACAAAAAAAAAAAAAAAAACTTTTTGTATAGGGTCTTTGCGAGGAAATATGATTTTTGTATAGAGTATTTCCTAGGAAATATAATTTTCTTGCGGAAAGTTGCTAGAAAAAGTTTGGTGGGTAAAGTGCCCTAAAAAAATTGATTTTGGAGGGTTTTTGCAATTTTTCCAATTATTTTTCCATCAATGGCGAGCTTTCTCTGCAACTGTCGATAAGAAAACTAGAGAGAAAATGGGTTTTGGAGAGAGAGATAAGAAAGTTAGAGAAATAGGTTTTTAGAGGGAAAGAGAGAGAGGGTGGTGGGGTGTGAAACTTGGTTTTTAAGGACTTCAGTGAATGGGGGTAGGGGGGGGGGCGGTGGGAGTGCGGAACGAGGTGGGTGAGTGGTCACGTGTCCCACACCTCTTTATAGAGGTGGCAATGGACCAGGACCCGGTCAGGATCCGCCGAGTATATCCGATAAGGTTCGAGTATGGGTCCAACATTTAAACACCGCCGGTCGAGTTCGGGTCCAAAAGTTTGACCCCGAACACTATTCAAGTCCGGGTTCAACTCCGGTTGGACCCAACGCGTACCTGTAACAATTGGAGATAAAATACTTTAAGCCCTATTCGTTTGGGGTGTATTAAAGATCGTATACAATAAGAGCCAGTAATCATCTTTAGCAATTACATGAAAAATCAGAGAGCTTGGAATTTAATATGAGGTGATTGTAACATTGTTGCCAAAAATATAGTATATGATGGTAAAAAAAAAAACAAACTCACAATAAGGGTGGCAATGGACCAAACCAGACCCGAGGACCCAATGGGATAGACCCGAGAACCAACGGGTATGGGTATGGATCTAACGTTTGGACCGATGGGTCAGTTCGGGTCCAAAGCTGGACCCAAATATTATTTAGGTATGCATCCGGGTCCATCCGGACCTGACTTGTTGCCACCTCTACCTCTTCCCAATGTTTTTCATTTCCCAATGTTATTTTAGGCTTTTAAATTTTTCTAAAAAATTATTTTTGCACAATTTTTTTATATTTTTTTTCCCTTACAAACAAGAAACGTTTGAAGAGAGATTAAAAAAAAAAAAAAAGACTTCATATTGGGCCAGGCCTGGCTTATATGGGACAGCCCAAGCGCAGCCCAAAATTTTGGTAAAAGGTACAGGTCAGGCCGGGCCTTTGGTAAAGCATATCATAGACGGGCCCAGTCTGGCCCGCTCAATCATAAATTCGAGCCAGATCTTTCAAGCCTGGGCTGAAAATTTTTGGGTTTTTCTCGAGATGGGACGGGCCAACTCGAACCCGGCCCCTTGGTAGCCCTATTAGTGATACACTATCTTAAAATGAGGTGGTTGTATACCATGAGACGGTTTATCTTTGTTGTAAGAGTCACAATTAAGTCATTCGATATCAAATTGGATGGCTTGGGATGCGGCACGAAGTTCCAAATTTTTTTTTTTCTCAATTTTAGATGTAGTCAATGACAAGGTAGGTTACAACCATCAAATTTGAAAATTTGAAATCTAAAAGACAAGAGGGATTGTGGCTCCCTTGCCATCAAAGTAAATGGTCTCTTTTGTGTGTGTGTGTCTATATATATATATATATATATATATATATATATAGACTA